TATGATGCACTGCTTGTTTATGTGGGGAATCGGAATCGCCAAATCCAATAGAAAATTCAACAAAATTTGCTCCTAGCGAAATAGTTTAATCTAAAATGACCTGGYTTTCAGATATAATATGTGTTAATATGTACTTAAAATATTCTGAGCGTTTGCTGGCTATTCTACTTCTCTTCGTGGATTGATACGCGGGTTTTAGATTTGACCCCCTCCGACGACCATGATCCTTTGCGTTTAAACAATAGATTGTTTTGATGTGACGTCATAGTGAAATAGGGCAATTAGTAGGTCCTTTGTTTGAGTTTACATGCATATTCATGTGTCTTCTCATGCGCGAACCGTTAAACAAAGATATGATGCACTTGAGAATGACACGTGGTCTGAAGCGAAAAAACCGGTCCAGGGAGTGCATTTTGAGTATACATATTCGATCTGTGAGTTGAGGACACTATCAATCAGCCATTGAATATACGTGTGTAGTAAGAACTTAAATGAGGACGAAATAATATAAAAAGAAAATACGTAAAAACAGAGAATATGAATAAGAAAATAATAAAAGGAATAGGATGCTTATTAAGTTTCAGTCCTGTTTGTTGAGGCCGTTCAAGAGCAATAGTTATAACATAAGCTTCTCTAAGGTTTGCGAATAGAGTCTCGAGAAGAAAAGATTTGTTGTACAGCTAGATGTTAAAACTAGCAGAGAGAAAGTTTTCTGAAGCTGTGGTAGGTTTAGATTTAGTGCTGAGTTTGATAACAGGATGTCGATGAACATGTATGAGGTGAGGTTTATAAAGTTGACGGTGGAGCCCGTGAAAGGGGAGTTAATAAGGTAAGGAAGTCATAAAAATGGGGACCTGAATACATTATAAACCTTAGGAGCAGGCACGTCTATTTCGACTTCTTTCTGTTATGTGTATACGTAGCTTATGATTATGATTTTATATGTTTTCCATATAGATATGTTCAAAGGCGCTTTACAATGATTTATGAATGAGAGATGGTTATTATGAGGTGTAGGCACTGAGGGTGTTCACTGCCAGGGTTTTTTTACGTCCTCATGCAGTGGTTCTTTTACGTCCCTCCGATGTTGGTTAGTAAGTGTGGAGAGACGGGACCGACATTTCAAATGGTCATCCGAGCCACTTGAAAGTCTAACCATTTGATGTAATTACAAAGGCAGCACTTTCTCCTCAGTTATTTGTTATTTTAAGACTTTGAGTTTTGATCTACCCCGACAGCCAGCTCCACGGAGGGTCAGAAAAAAACCTCTGCTCGCAGGGTAGTGTTGGTCCGGCCGGGAAGTCCGATGCTCAACCAACTGAGCCAACCGGTTGTACTGATTTGACAAAGAATTGTCAAAGATCGGATATTTTTCGCCGGAAGAAAAAAAACAACATCAAAAACAAACCAAAGACAGCACTCCTCTAATTCATAAATGATTCGCCGCACCGCACAACCACCATATCGGGATGGTTGTGCGGTTGGAGGGTGGAAATCAAGAACTGAGGAATGCAAGAAAGAGAACAGGAAGCGCATCTTTGTAAGAGTCACTCATGCCAACACCAGCTAACAAAAAACCTTTATTATTACACTTTTAGGGTCAAATCTGTGGAATACATGATCAAATATGCTCACCAATATTACTGCTTTGGAAGGAGTCATGAGAATGATTGGTAATTTTGCCTTGAAATCTGACACCCAGTTACTATCTGTCAACTCCCTCTGTGAAGTGACCCCTGGAGCTTCCAATCTCCGAACGAATAAAATTGCCTCATTGTTTGACGTCCAGTCTGTCTTGTAAGCAGATTTGGGTTAGCGTTAAGTTTGTTGGAGTAGGGCCTTGAAATCTCCGGGGAATGGTCGTGTAGTGCATCGAAAATGATCGCTGCCTTAGCCCCGAGAAGATTGCTTCTCCTGCTCCTAGTTGCGTGGATTGTTGGGCCTGTAATTGGAGGTGAGTTTGAATTTACTAGGTAGTTGAGTTCTCTAGATACTGTAATATATCAAACACGCTTTAACCAAGTCTTCGGTGATAATTTATATAGCCCTTTTAGGACTTGGCTTACTCTTCTAAATTACATTGAATTCCAGGTAGCAAAAACAGCGGCGGTTTTTAATAGAAACTATCACGATGAAACTAACCGTATAGATTGATCTCCAACAGGAACGATTACATCCACATTTAATACGCCGTTTCATTTGCTRCAATTCCAGTTGTTTTGGTCGAAATATTAAGTTGAAATGAGTAGTTATGACTTCAAATTACAAGCTCTTCACCTAGTCTAACCTCTGGTAAATCCTTTAGAACATTCTAGTCATGAACTGTCTGCAAAGAACGCAAGTCAGTCGAGCAGGAACAACATTTCATTCATCGTTTATTTAATTTCTTATCAAACACCTTTAAAATCTCTGAAGAACTGAATTTGAGGATTAGAAAATGTGGTCAATTAATTATCAAATTGGCCTTTGTTCATATAACTTTATTAGGCTTCCCACTTGTGTTTATTGAATTGATAGTATAAGCAAAACAAAGGACGTGGTTATGAGATTGTGTTAACATATATGGACAAGATTGAAAACAATGGCTTTTATGACTCTAAGTATAAAAGTGTCTAGCCCTTTTGATCTGAAGATATTTTATTTTCCTCGCTTAATACAGTCACACAATCCGGCTTTTGGCGGCTTTATTTGTCATACAAGAGCATTATATTTTGGCTTTTTATCCAYCTCATTCTACTTATTTAAGATCGCCTTTACCTCTCACATTCGACACAGCACCCGAACTTGAACTCTGTCACAAATGCATTTTGGTGCACTCTTCATTCACTGTTCCTGATTTACTCATTCTGGAAGTAAGCTAAGTAACGTCATGCGCAGTAATACTTGATGGCTTCTGTGGATCTAATGAATGGGTCTTTGATTCTGTTGACCTGACTTTACTGGCCTTTTGTCGGCTTAAAATTTTCTTACATTGAATTCGAAATTCCCTGAGGCAAGGTAATTGAACTAGTCAAACTTTTTGCTGCATACATGGCAAGCGTTAAGGAAAAATTCCATTTTTCTCAATTTAATTTCCCCCGCCAGGCGTAGCTTTTATTTAGGACTACACAGGGAGCCCGGCTTGGTGATGCTGAATCGGTAAAACGATCACGTTTCATATGTTGATGACATTACATAATAATCGTAACTCAATGCACCAACGATCACTATGTAATAGAACACCAGTGTTTGTAACGCGTAACTTAATATCCAAATAAATTCAAATTCAAATACGTAACGGCTAAGTGTAACGCACGCGTTAAAAAGAGAGAAAGGAGAGTCTATTGGTTTTCACTTGACGTCATCAAAACATCAAAATCTAAACTATTGATGGTATAAATGCATTTCTCAAGTATGGTTTAGAAATCAATGTTATAAGTCACAAAAAGCTCGAGTCATTTTGATGTTTGGTTCCCGAGTTATGATGGTTGAGTTTGTGTTACGCAATACCGTCACGTCTATCATAGCGATCAAAATAGTAAAAATAATTTACAGTAGTTGAAAGATTTTCCCTTAGACGCGTTTAAAATATCTATTTAAAGTATATTTAAGTGAAATATAGTCAAAAATATTAAAAATTCCATCATCTTAAGCATTTGAAATTTCGTCCGCCATGATTGGAACACCAAGATGGCCGCTCCATACATTTTAACCAAAAATTGTGTCATGTTTACTCGCCTCTAGTTCCGCAACGAAATGCTTTACAGCCTCGAAAATTGGCCAGAATATGTAGTTTTGACCACTTTACAAGATTATGAAACTTTTATTTCATAATACGAATTTTCGYTTTTGAAATTCATGATGACGTAGGTGAAATCCTACGATGAATATGTAATGYCATCAACATATGAAACATGATCGTTTTACCGATTTAGCATCACCAAGCAGGGCTCCCTGTGGGACTATTCTGAGTTATATACGTCGACACAACTATCATTCCGATGTATACACATACGGCTTTAGCCTCGTCCCCAGGCATCTCCTTGGCTCTTTTTGCTTTTGGCTTCCTGTGGTGAGAATAAARCCCACTCCTCCTCCTCTCTCGTTTCTCGTTCCTAGTTCTTCTCTGCCGTAAGATTTAACACAGGAATCCAAACGGAGAATATATGGGGTAGCGGCTTATCTGTCTATCCAGAAGTTCCCACACAGGTATCCCAGCCTGTCTTTTTTTAGTTTTCTCGTTATTGCAGGACGAATTTTAACCGCTTTTTAATTTAAATTTTAATCAAAGTATGAAGATTCTTCTTAAAACTTTTTTTTTTGGTTCATTATACTATTTTTTATTTAATTCTCTTGGAAATATGAAGGGATTCTTGGGAATATGAATGGATACCTTTTCTCTCATATTATAAAATGCTGGTATTATACGACATTACAGGATGCAAAAATCATGGGAACGTCTGACAATTTTAAGAAGGTGGTTGGTTTATTAAGCGTCGTGACAAGAAAGGGTTCGTAAGTCCTCTTTTAGACCCTTTTATCTTAGGGCAGGGCGTGTGGTCATCCCCCCAGAACATTTTGAAATCTAGAAGTTCAGAACTGCAATTTCCACCATAAGTTTTCATTACAAAAGGCTTACTGCTCGATATATTTGTCACTGAAGTCGATCTTGCTCGATATTTTTCGGACATTTTCCCCCCATCATGTGATCGTGCATAGCCTCTACAGCGAGCTTTGTAGATAGTKACGAAAAATGTTCCTTTTTTCTTCAGAACTCTACCAAAGGCGAGTATGTCCAAAAGCCCCAAACTGGAAGAAAGCAGAATTCTGCAAAGGCGTTGCGCACAAATGTAGTGCTGATGCTGAGTGTGAAAGTGGTCAAAGATGCTGCCCGACAGACAAGGAATGCTTTCTGTCCTGCCAAAATACTGTTATACCAGGTATGAAAAAACAAACAAGACTTTACTTTCAATCGAGCAGCTGTTGATTCTAGCCGTACGTCGTAATAAAGCGGGGGGGGGGGGGGGGGGGTGGGGGGACATATTAGCGGAATTTTGATTTTTGCCTTTCCCTTCGAAAAATCGTGGCTACGCTCCTGGAATGACTCTCATCAATCTGGTAACAACTATCGTATACAACAGGCTCGCGCCATCCTTCAACTCGAGTCGTAGCGTGTAAATCAAGCCTACAACTCGCCTACGACAGACGCGAGCGTGTTGTATACGATAGTTGTAGGCGAAAATCGTACCGTCTAAAATCAAAGCTCCCACAAGTTGAAGACAACATGTCAAGACAGGGGCACAGTAGACAACGATAATTTATAGGTCATGGATGAACGGGAGACTAATCCTATTGACCTTTATCTCTGAAGAGGTCGTCCTCATTAGTATTCTTTATATAAAGAATATTAATGAAGAGGAGTTGATGGGGTTTAAAGGTCCATGCACGTGACGAAACGAACTCATTTCTTCGTGTAGACATAGAAACAAAGCGTTGTTGCATAACAACTGAACTGGCATAATTATGTAAATAGCAATATAAAGTGAATGCTTTGTAAAATCCAAACATTAAAATCTCCTGACGAGTGAGTCCGACTCACGAAACAGTTCTGTAGAGAACAAATTATGGTCGTGTGATTTCTACACTTAACACATATATATATATATATATTTCGCTCTACATAAAGTATCGAGCACTGTTTTACTGGCGATCGACTACACACACGCGCACACACACACACATATATATATATACAGCGATATGCAGAAATTCTGATCCTTTTGTATATACACAAAAGTATACCAAAAGTATATTAGAAATTATGGGATACCATTTCTGATATTTTTTTCAGAAAACCCTAGTGATAGGCGAACCGAAAAAAATATTTCACAACTCGACCACTCCCCGTACGAGGTTCTTCCATTACCACTACATTCTAGTACGGGTGACATCATTTTATTACTTTGGYTTGATTGGTTGCATAGATAATGGCATCATTTCATTACCTTGGCAGTGTTCAGACTCTCCACGTTTTGTTTTTTTYCAGACGGATGTCCTATTCCGATCGATCTTGCCCTGTTGCTGGATTCCTCTGGTAGTATCGGCAGAAGGAACTGGGTCAAGGTGTTAAACTTCGCCAAGTCAGTGGTGGATATCTACGATATTTCTGAAAAGGGGACTCATATTGCCATCATGATGTACAGTGATGACCCAGAAATTATGATCCGGTTTAATAAGTACACTGGAGTCGAGTTGAACGCCATCAACATTAAGAGAGACATTTCGAAATTTAGACTGCAAAAGGGAAGGACTTTCATCGACAGGGCTCTTGTATTAGCTGGGGAAGATCTGTTTACGGAAAAATCCGGAATGAGAAAAGATGTCCGAAAGGTATATTGTTTGAGACGACAACAGAAATTAAGAATGTGTACAGCTGACAACAACTACAGCAGCATTAATAACAAGAGCAAAAATAACAACAACAATAATAATGATAATAATAATGATAATAGTGATAATAATATAAAAAATATAGTGATAATAATAATAATAATAATAATAACAATAATGATTAATATTGGTGAGATTGAAAATCGAGACCAATAGGACGTTTGCACGATGGCGTCATTGACCTCTACTACCAGACTCCCTTGCACACTTTCTTTTGTTCAGTTAATTCGCACCAAATGTCTTAATATTCTCATGAGRGAATACAAATTTAAATAAGAAAGAAATTTGGCGAAGCATCTTGGTAGTGGGAGTCAAATGATGAAATCGTGAAAACGTCCTATTGAAAACAGATAATAATAATAATAATAATAACCAGTAACAACAAGAATGACAATGACAACATACGGCAACGACAAAAACAACCTAAGAATAACTATAATGACAAAGAATAGAATAACAGTAGAGTACACAACGACAATAGTATCAACAACAATAAATATAAAAATAACGACAGCGTCTGTAGTAGTTTCAGTAGAGTACTTAACAATACACCAATTCAAGGTTGAAGAAAAAGCTGGGTTGAGTAGTGCATTGTGGGACCGTTTAAAAGGACAAAAAAATTGTGGAAAATATGTATCGCAACTGCAACTGGTTTTTTTTTTCTTAACTTCTCGCAATAGCTAATTTAGCGTAGCAATGAGAACGCGTAGATCTTGCCAAGGCGACCCAGTTTTGATTCCCGTCGGTCTCGGCGTCGTACGTGAGTAGAGTTGCTTGTTAGTTCTCTCTGTGCTTCGAGTTCTTTTTCACCGGGCTCTTCTGTTTTCCTCTCCCTTTTAAAAAAAATCAACTTCTGGAATCCAGTGGAAGAAGATCCACACTACTGAAGCAGTGTTAAACTTCGTCCCCCTATAGACCAGTTTCGAATTCCAAGTTACCGCTGTGTTCCTTGATTACAGACTCATTTGCACAGGGTTAGCC